CAATGGTGTCTCGCTTTACCAATGTTAAAATCTGGTCACCGTAAGCTAGTACTTGAATCCAGCTTTGGCTCCAAAACTAAGTGATATGTACTTCATTCTGTATGCAATGGGGTACAACTGAAGGGCTTTGAGCAAAGAACTTTTGTGATAGAACTATGCAGGACAGAAGGAAAGGAGAGACTCGGAGCAATGAGCTGAGTAAGATTCAGATAAATTATAAGGGCCTGTATATAAGATGTTGACTTCAGGAATTTAAAGCAAGAGATAAAAGAGACATCACAAAGCACAGAGGTAGAATGACAAAATTTGACTACTGCTTAACTTTGGAGGGAGAAGAATAAAGGATGACACAGGGTTTTAAATTACTTTAGTGAAAACATTAACCCAAAGTAGACATTAACCTAAAAGGTAACATGAGTTTTTATTTGCATACTAGACCAAAAGAAAATCTGCTTTCCAGTACAGTTTGTTTACTGATTTGTAATCTGAGTTAATTATTTAACCCTTTTTTGCCCAGATTTACTCATCTGTAAAATGTAATCTGCCACTGCAAAAGCCCCTGAATTAGCAGATTGTCTGAATGCTTTTTTACCTCCACATTTTCAGAATTTGAACACTCATGCATAGTAATATGAAATTGAATCCTAATGTTGAATACACTTTTACATCATACTGTAAACAATCGTAATATTATGTTATCTTCCTTTGCTTCTGTTATTGCCTTTAACTAGTTGTCAGATGAATTGTTATGCTAGTTTTATATCATCTTTTATCTATTGTTTTCTCAAGCTGTTGTTTAAATTCTTTATTATGGTTTAACTTTTTTACATGTTAACTCCCCAGATACAGTGGAAGATCCTTGGATAGGAACATACTTTGTGCATCCCTATGTACCTCCTAATTTCTTAAATAAATGCACCCAGGAAGTATTTATTGATGTGATTCAATCAGCTCATGTGGCACAATAAGACTTTTGTATGTTATACTCTGTTAATATGGTCTCAAACAGAGTAGTATTTGGTTTTTGATAGCCATATCTTAACTATGAGCTCATGATGAGTCTAAGGCCCACTTCTTTCTCAAAGTTACTGTCTTAATTAAAGAAAAATATTTTCAGCTCGGCGCCTGTGCCTCAAGCGGCTGAGGCGCCAGCCACATACACCTAAGGTGGCGGGTTCGAATCCCCAGCCCGGGCCCGCCAAACAACAATGATGGCTGCAACCAAAAAATGGCCAGACGTTGTGGCGGGCGCCTGTAGTCCCAGCTACTTGGGAGGCTGAGGCAGGAGACTCGCTTGAGCCCAGGAGTTGGAGGTTGCTGTGAGTGTGATGCCATGGCACTCTACCCAGGGGGATAGCTTGAGGCTCCGTCTCAAAAAAAGAAAAAATATTTTCATGTTATCTCTGTGCAAGGACCATACAAATCTTCTCTATATTGTTCCCATTTTAGTATATGTGCTTCTAAAAAGTGAGTACCCTGTCAATTTTAACAAGACCTTTTTTTCTCTATGCCTTTATTTAAATGTAGTTAATTTTTTATTTCTTCTTAATCTTTTTAGCTTTAGCTTTATTGTATATATTTCATAAATATCCATATCCAAGTATTTAATAAAATACTGCTTGGTATATTAGTTCTCTTTTGCTGCATAATGATTTACTACAAACTTAGTTGCTTAAAACAACATATTTCTTTTTTAAAATTTCAGATTATTATGAGGGTACAAACAATTAGGTTACAGTGTTTGTGTTTGTTAGGTAAGGTCTCTGTTGTGCCCCTCACCCAGGTTGTGTGTCATATACTCTTACATTGTGTCCATTAGGTAGTAGCATACCAATCCCCCCCCCACTTGAGTTTAATTGAAAAACAACACATTTCTTATCTCACAGTTTCCATGGGAAAGGAGTTTGTCATGGCTTAACTGGGTTCTCTGCTACGGGTCTCAAAGGCTACAGTAAAGGTGTTAGCAGGGCTTGTGGTCCCGTCTTGGGCTCCCCTTCCAAGTTCACATGCTTGTTGGCAGAATTTAGTTCTTTGTGGTTATAGGACTGAAGCCTCAGCTCCTAGGGGCTGCCTGCAGTTCCCTGCCATGTGGCCCTCTTTATAGGCAGTTTGCATGATAGCTTGCTTTTTCAAAGCCAGCAAGGGATAAAGTTTGTCTCTCACAATGGCAAGAAGGAATCGCATGTGTGTATGAAATATATACAAACACATATATAACTAGTCATTGTAGTGATATCCCATTACCATTATCATATATTATTAATTAGAGCCTAGTCACAGGTCCTACCCATACTCAGAGAAAGAGGACTAAACAAGGACACGAACACCAGGAAGTGGGCATCATTGGAAGTCATCTTATGGTCAGTCAGTCAGTCTGCTATGCTTGATATAGCTCTAAATCAGAATTGAAGATTTCCTAATTTACCGTTAGTCACTTAGGTAAGGCTGCTCTAACAATTGTGACTCTAACTTTACTGTCATCCAGCAAATTTTTTTATCCTGTTTATAGGTATGATCAGAAATGAGGTTCAATAATTTGCTGAAATCACTCATTGTTTGGGGCCTTCCCCTGAGACAGTATAGAAATGGGAATAGAGTTGTGGATTCAATTAGGGTTCTGCATATCTACTTAGATATCCAAGTAGGGCTGTTCATCTCTCCTGGATCTGGGATTTAGGAAGGAGTCTAAGCTGGAGTAGAGATTTGGGAGTCTTTTAAGTAAAGAGGGTAAAAGCACACTAGGGTCTGGATATACTTTGAGATTGGTAGAGTGCCAAGTGTAGAATTCTAGGGAAATCAAGGTACCGTGTCTGAAGGATTCCCTGTACCTCCTAATTTAACAACCTAAACAAAAAATGAAAACAAGTTATCCTGGATCAGAGGAAAAGCTATTATTTTTGTCTGCTTGTGCCTTCAGTCCTATCTTCCTGTCTGTTCCAAATACTACTAATCCATTTATCCTTCTTTTCTTCTGGTGTCCTCTTCTACTTTGCACTGGACCCATTCACTAGGTTATCCATAAACATGTTCTGGATGTTGTGCCTTTTGTTGTGCCATCTAGCTACTAATACCTCTATCTAGCCAGCTACTTAACCTTTTTGGGTCTCAAAGATTGAGGGGCGTGATATAGGAAGAAGGTTATGATTTTTTTTTTT